AGGCCCCAAGAAAATTAATTTTTTTTTTTTTTTTTTTTTTTTTTTTTTTTTTTTTTCAGTCTACGGTATATGAAATTACTCTTACCCGAGTAGATTTCTATATACTCAACAAGCTTTCAACAAAAAACACAAAGGGAACAAGCCATGTCAGGCCTTCTCTTTCAACATCCACCTAATGATAGGTCACAGCAACCTGCATTACCTGAATTCATTAGCCTAGAGTGCACACCAGAGCTTATACTTAGCACTTGTACCAAACATGCTCTACATATACCGAGCGCATCCACTCTGTGAAACATAAGATAGAATAGCTTTTGTCTTCTACCTATTTTTAACCATTTTCCTCATAATTCACAAACTTTCTTCTCTACTCTGTAGCTCCTCATCTCACTTTTTTTCTTCTTGTACTCATTGCTCTCCTAATCACTGTCAAATTTTCTTCCTCAGCAACTTACCAGCTAGAATCTATAAAAACGCTTAATCTTCACATTGATATACTACATATGAATAAAGTGGCATCTCACTAGCATCCTAGTTTATAAAGCCTTTCAGGCAAAAGTGTGCCTTCAAAAATAATAAAAACAGAAGAAAAAGGAACCCAAAAGTCTTCTAATTTATCGTATAACTTTTTTATACATTTGTAAGTATCAACAGTTAGAGTTTCAGAACTCAGTCTAAATTCTAACAGCAAGCAATTCAAACTCTGTCAAGGATTCACTTCAGCATGTAAATTCCATGCAAAATTGTGAATAGACTGAACATTTCAGAGTAACTGGCCACTTGCTTACCCAAGTTACAGATATGGAAAACCTGCATTAATTAACTTTCTTCCAAAAGAGAAACGTATCTGTCTTGGACTTCAACCTTACAACTCGGGTACGCTACAGACTAGTGCCTGGGAGCCAAGACCCAAAATGTAAACCACAGAGTAAAGAATACTGTAACAATACGCAAAGAATGCACAGGCAACAAGCAGCACAAAATTGACTTCCTAGGCATTCTCCTACAGAAAATAGCTTCTCGCTCCTCATTTAGAGTGAGCTGCCTGATTATCCTTCAATGTACACTAAGCACTTCATGTTGAAATCACTAAGAAAAGCCGATTACACTACATCTTTAAGGATATTTATGCAAACATAAATCCAATAAAAGCTGACATAGTAACGCAGTCATTTGCTCCACCTAGAACTCTCAAAATATGGGTTATAAGTCTGTCTATACTTTCAGAATATTGTCAGGAATGGCTTCTTCCACGTGTACACGAAAACACATTGTATTCTCATGTGTAATTAGCATTCTGGACACTTTCTAAAAGAAACATTTTTGTTTTAGTGTAAAGTAAGAATCATAAATTGCACTTCAAATGTTATCTAGACAGTTTAGAGGTGTAGATACAGTTTGTGTAGACATAACTGAACTAGGTTTAAGCTAGCTAGCTTGAATATTAATATACTGTGTTGTCCCAGCTATGGTGCTTCCTCTGCTACCTAGTTAATTAGGTTTCTACAGGCTTTAAGCAAGTTTGAATCTTCACTGAAGCAACTAATGTGGATATTTTGAAGACACTTCACAAGTTTCAGGTGAACACCACAAATGCCAGACAAATCTATATTCTAATAAGGTCTCCATTTTCTCTCCTGTAGATGTATTTGATACAAACAGGTGTTTACGCTTACCAGAACAGCAGCTGAAACTCACTAAAAATGTTCATGTGTTCCAGTTTCAAACATTTTCACTTGAATCACTACAGAGACCGAGGCTCAAAGGGATCATAACGAACACTTCGCCTGATCTTCATTTAAAACATACATAGGACTCAATTTATTTACAGTGGAAATTTAACCTTTAGAAAGTAGTGGTGAAACCTGACCATTTTGTGCAAGCCATTCCAATAACAAATTACTGTCGCTGTTAAAAATACGTACTTTCTAGCCTGGACATCTATAGCTTCACACTTCACCAGCTGAATCTCACAATATCTTTGCTAGACTGAACAGGATTCACTATTAGGTTTCTAGCCTCCATGTATGGACCTCTGGACCGAGAAGCCACTCCTGAAACTCCTTGCTAAAAAAACAGCTTTGCTCTTTACAACCTTCCACCAAATCGTATTTAATCTTGTGACTAGCCTCCAAGTTCTCCAGGTTTTGAAGTGACCTTGAACTGTGAATACCAGAATCAGGTACAGGATTCCATCAGGACTCAAAAGTAGGACCAGACACATACACCTCCCTAATTCCATTTTACATTCTCCCCAAGAATTGTATTAATACACTAGTTGAAATGTCAGAAATTTATTTCCAGCTAATTATCTTAACTGAGGTCAAAACTAATCCGAAGACTTCTCCTCAAATACTCTTCCAGAATGGACACACTCAGAATCCACACCACCAAGCTCTTGGCTCAAAACTGTGCACTCCAAAAACTGACATCATTTACATATACTAAGCAAGCAGAAGTTCTGCTAAAGCCAACAATATGCACAGAAATACAATAGTATTTGGCACTAAATCTGGACTTGGAAATAAATGACCCCCCACCCCCGCTCCCTATGCTTTTTAAATCTTGAGCTAGATGCTCAGAACACATTTGTTTCAAACTATGTGACCTACAAACTTTGAGCATCAGCAGGCATTAAAAATCAAGCATGAATACTGTCGCCAAAAACCTTATTAAGAAAGGCTAATAATCTTCTTGCTTAGTGCAAAGTTTAAAGGATGGTGGAACAGTTTATAAAAGAAAAACTGGTGTACAGATAAAATAGGAAGGTGCATTATGAAACATACCAAATTCAAAGTATCAACATCACTATATCATTCCATTCAATGCTAGTTTTGCCATAGGATGTGCCAAGGTTAATCTTCTGTTGCAACTAGAAACGTATCTGATAGCAAGAGATAGGCTAGACGGCCTTGTTCAACTTTAGCACCTGAAGATAATTTGAAGGCAAACACTCTACCTTCTTGAAGCCTTTAAATTCTTTTTAATAGCAAGCGTTAAGGAAATCTTATGATTTATGTAGTCAAATAACAATAAAACACGTTGGTGTAGAAATTACGATAGTGCAAA